ATTAGTGTCACTAGGGATGTCAGTGGCTGTCAGTTCCCACCCAGTGTCAGAATGCCCGCCGCAATCCCGCTGTAAGTTGCCGATTGCCGCCATTACTAGTATAAAAAAATTTTAATAAAAAGTTACAGTATATACACACACACCATTTGTAGACACTATAACTTTCAGGTAAACCAATATAACCTTATTGGGATTTTTTTTTTTAGCAAAAAGGCATGAGGCAGAATACATTTTGGCCTAAATTTATAAAGAAATTCTATTTTTATTGGCTGTTTTATAGCAAAAAAGTCAGTTTTGTGTTTATTTTCTTAAATTAAAAAATGCAGAGGTTATCAAATACCAGTGAAAGAAAGCGCTATTTGTGGGAGAAAAAAAAAAATTTCATTTATGAACAGCATTGCATGACCGCACAATTGTCAGTTAAAGTAACGTAGTGCCATATTGCAAAAAATGGCCTGGCCAGGAAAGGGGGGTAAATCCACTGGAGGGTAAGTGGTTAACACAGGGGGAAGGATCTTTATTTTAACTGTGGGACTGCAATTTTCAAAAAGTCTTAAAATAAAAAGATACTTCTCCTATGTTCTTTGTGAATACAGTTTTTACAGTTCCTTCAGTACCATATTTATACCCACTGGTTATAAATGGTTTGTATTGTTCATTCTATATTTTGTTAAATATATTCAGTTAAACCAAAAATATAACAAATATGCCTTATTTTATGTAAATTTAACATCTAATACAACATACTTGACTCCCCACTGGTCAACCCACAAACCCTCACCTATTTACAATATACTACTGTAATTGCCTTAGTCTATTGATTTACTACCTCCATTATCCACCCATGGAATGAGGCTAATAAATAAATCCAGCCCTAAATTAATGCACAAACCTCAGCCCACATCTTTAGAACTGGTGTTCACCTATAAACCTCCCCAGATAATATCTACTTATGCCTTCTACTAGACTGCCAAAAACCCCCATAATCACAAACTGACCCATCCAGACATTCCCTTCATACTCAACTATCATCCCTGTAACAGCTTCAACCTACTCAAAATGCATGCTTGAATATCACAACCTATTTTCAATACTTGTTCTGGAATTGCATTTTGCCCAGAGAGATGTAATTTGCATTACCAGTAATGTTGCAAAAAATATGATTCTCTGAATCACTAGCCTCCATCAAGTCCCACTAGAATAAGGAATTGCTGGAACATGTAACAAGCTGTAGCTGCCTGGTATGTGGCAAGGTAACCAAATGTTAATTTAGATGAGTAGCTGGCCAAACCATGTCTACTGTGCAGACAAATTAAAGAAAAAACAAATCTGGCTTATAGATTTTAAAAATTCAAATTGCAATGTGCTAATCTGTTTTTATATAAAAAAAATGTACATGTGTACACTTGTCATAGTTAAGTGGGCTTTTTCTATTGTAATCTACCACAAATCAGGACTACAAAACAGGTTGTTAAATCTACATCAGCAGTCACTTGTGTGTACACATCCCATCACTAAAACCTAGATAAACCTGTCAAGAAAAATACAATATGTTACAAGTGGAGGCAGTTTGTTTATATTTTAATGCATAGCTATCTTTATGCTTGCTGGTTTTGCAGCTATGCATTCAATGTCAGAAGAAGCCTTTTAAAACAATATTTTCTGTAACGCCTTATTTAGCACAGGTAAAGCCACCTTTCAAAATGGAAAAACCATTAGAAGGAAGGTTTTGATGATCCTTTTTATGGTTTCTATATACAAACCACCACCCTAACCAGATTCTTAGGTGTGAACATTGCCTATTCACAAGAAAGGATACAGTTCCTGGGCAGACTACACTACTAAAGAAAGCTATCAGAACACCAAGGCATAAAATAGTCATATTAAAGTGAAACTTCACTCTCAATCAACATTGGCTATTTTTAATCATTATGCTGCATGCATTAGTAAATTGATAGGAAAGTATCCAGGTGGATTCAAGGAAGTAAATGCTACATGAATCACCTGCCCTTACTCAAGATGGCCATGGCAAGAAATGCTAGGGGAGTGTTTTCCAAAGTGATCGCAGCAAAATAAAGCATGGAGAAAAACAAAAAACAAACATAGATGGGGGGATTTGCTTTGAATATTAAAAATGAATCAAACAGTGTTTTTGGTTTGTGATGCTCAGAAGCAGTGTAGTTCTGTGTTAAGGTCTTACCAGTTCTTAATGAACTTTATTAGATAAAAGCCCAGGATAGAACTTTTTTGGCCAAAGTTAGACACAGGGATATTTACTAAAACCGATGCACTCAGAATCTGGTGCATAGAAACCATTCATCTTTCAGGCTTTGTGAAAGCTTAACTGAACAAGCTTAAGGCACCACCTGGCTACCATGCACAGCTGCACCAATTTTAGATTCATTTGCATGTGGGTTCTTGGTAATGGACACAAGTATTGACGTAATAGGGTAAACGCAGCCAGGACATTCTCATTTGCAGAATGAAGACAAATCAGAGCTCAAAGATCAGCCCTTCATGCTAGAAATAATCATTGTACATTACCATCAATGTGAAAATCGATAATATTTTGTCATGTTCCAAATCACAGTCAGAGGGTTCTATACTACAACCCTCCCAAGCTGCAGTATCTGCATGCATGGTAAGGCCTTGCACAGAATACCATCAAAATGGTTAATTCAGGTTTTCATCATGACCTGATGCCAGGGACCAGAAGGAAAAATATTGGTGTTTGCAGCACTGTACTGGTTTCAATTTGTACTTTTATATCACAGTAAAATGTTCATGACTTGGGAGCACCTAGAGCATAAACCGTCAAGAAGCATACTACTGCCATAAGGGTTATTATTATTATTATTATAATACAGTATTTATAAAGCGCCAATAGTTCGCTCAGCGCTGTACATTACAGAGGGGGGGACAGAACATGTGACAGAACAATACCAATACAATGCAAAACATGAGGGGATTGAGGGCCCTGCTCTTTCGAGCTTACAAACTAGGAGGGAGGGATGGTGGCACAGGAGGAGATAGCTGCGGGGGATGGAGTGGTAGGAAGAGTGGAGGAGGTCGGCAAGTTAGCAGGAGGTGGGGTAGGCTTCCCTGAAGAGATGGGTTTTCAGGGTGCGCCTAGAGGAGGGTAGGTGATAATCTGATGGGTTGGGGCAGGGAGTTCCAGAGGATGGGTGACACCCTGGAGAAGTCCTGGAGGCGGGCATGGGAGGAGGAGACCAGGGAACTAGAGAGAAGGAGGTCTTGTGAGGAGCGGAGTGTGCATGTGGGCGGTACTTGGATATTAGGTCAGTGATGTAGTTCGGGGCAGTATGGTGGACAGCTTTGTACATCAGCGTTAGGATTTTGAATTTGATCCGTTGCGCAATCGGAAGCCAGTGGAGGGATTGGCAGAGGGGGGTGGCGGAGACAGAGCGGTTGGAAAGGTGAATGAGTCTGGCAGCCGTATTCAGGATCGACTGAAGCGGGGACAGCCAGCGGCGAGGCAGGCCAGTGAGAAGGGAGTTGCAGTAGTCGAGTCGTGATATGATGGAGTGGATGAGCTGTTTAGTGGTTTCTGGGATTAGGAACGTGCGGATTTTGGCGATGTTGCGGAGGTGGAGTCTGCACGAGTTCGTTAAAGATTGGACTTGGGGCTGAAAGGATAGGTTGGAGTCCAGAATGACACCAAGTACTCTGGCCTGCAGGGCGGGTTTGATGGTAGCGTTGTTGGATGTGACGGAGAAGTGAATGAAGGTGTTCAGAGTTTAGACTAAATTAACACTTTGTTGGCTTGCCTGCAAATCAATAGGTAATGCCTGGCTTTCAACTCATTGGCCTAATAAATTTAATGACCTAGACTAGAGAGATCTATAGCTATCCATCCCTCTCCTGTAGTAATGCTTAAGACAGCAACAAGCTGCTTGGATAACTTTCAAATTTGAGTCATAGGACATTGGATTTATACAACCTGCAAAGCCAAGGGCATCCAGTTGCTTTCAGCAGTTCATTTGAAGTAAGATGGAGGCCACAACATGAAGCTATCCTCCAAATAAAATAACTTTATTTAAAACTTATTGAATAAGCAAAATACAAATTCCAAAAAAGTTCATTTTACTTCATGGTTTACAAATATACAAAATAGAAGTTGACATAAGTTTATATTACATATTTTATTATGTAAAGTCTTATATAGAAAACAAACTTTTGTTCTGGATAAGGCATATGCGGGAAAAAGACCATTGTACAAATTTATTGCACATAGAAACCACAGTGCATCACGTACTGTCTGCATATACAAATATATTAACAAAATAAATCAGGTTTACACACCTGACTTTGGTCAGAATTTAAAGAAAAAAAAAAAAGAAAAAAAAAAAATCGGAAGACATAGATTTCCTTGTCAAATATGCAGCAGTTTGAGAACTTTGGCTTCAATTTTGGTACCATTAGAAGTATCAGCCTGTAAGCACCATTAGCTAATTGTATTTATTCCTTCAACCAGCATTATATACTACCTGTGTGAACTTGCACACCAAGTTAAGCATCCAATGGAATAATGACATTTCCTTAAATGTTACACAATTGCATCGCGCAACAAGGAGGAAAAAATCATTCATGGTCCTTTTCTGGCCATTTGCTCCCTGAAACATACCATAAAGCCCTTAACCTATCAGAAGGAGCATTATGATTAACAACAGCAGCAGGTGGGACAAGACCAAACACTTCTGAATAGTGCAATCACCAGTTTTCCAGTCCTTAAAGTTCCAGGATTAAGTCCAGTTTTATCCAAAAATGGAATGCCTGAAGATCCAGTCAAAACCCCATGTTTCTAGAAGCTCTGTTAAATTAGTATGTTCTCCATTATGCTGTGGAGAATAGTTAGACTGAGGTTTCCGAGTTTTGATTTATCACAAAATTTGTAGTGCTTGTGTTCAGTTTCTCTCCCATTCCCTGGTAATGTGTGCTGTAAATACTGACTCCTTTAGGCCTGTAATCACATTTACCACTCAGAAGTGCCTTTTCATATGCAAGGCAAGGTGGTCTGACCTGGAGAAGGCACGATCACACCTTTGGCACTGGAACGGCCGATGGCCGGTATGTTTTCGGTAGTGGCGAGTCAGTTCATCAGAGCGAGCAAATTTCCACCCGCACCCTTCCCAGTCACAATGGTATGGCTTTTCACCTACACAAAAGAAAAAGCAAAAAATTAGTAACATGACGACACCCCAAATTACAGACAAGGCACAAATCTACTGGAAAACCAAGAAAAAGTAGTATTTGTCATTCATATAAACCAATAAAATTCCATCTGTCATTCTTCCAGCGCAAGCTGGAACCCAATTGATATGGACAACCCAGTCTTATTTCAGACACAAGACATTTGCCACATTTTTTTCTCAGCTCACAAAACAATGCAATAATAATAAAGCGTTGCTTGGAGTGCAATGTCATTTTACAAAAATACATGTAGTATAGACTATGGAATGGCTCACCTGTCATGAGCCAGACATATGTTAAAACCAGTTTATCTTCATTTTAACATTTACAATACAAACGAACGCGCCATGCTTTGAAACACTTTATAAATCTTTTAAGCATAGTATTTTTATAATTGTGCATTTCCAAAGTGTATAGAGATTTATTATCACCTCTAAGCAACCAACATGGTGTGTCATTTCAAATTACTAAACCAGAAATCTACTGTGACCCGTAGCCAGCATTCTCTAGTCACACTATAGTAAACTTGTTGAAAGCCAGCACTTAATTGGTTGCCAAGGTTCTACCTTATAGTGTGCCATTCAGGTGGCACTTTATACAGAGTATTTAATACACAGCTAGTGAAAAGGTATTGATGACTAGTAGGAAAGATGTAGCAAACTGCACTAATATAAAAACTGCCAACAAACTTTAAAAATCTAAAGACCCCATGATGGGCTGGCACCTCAAGGTGCCACTTTTTTACTAGCTCAAAAACCCTCGTGTGTTGGAAGAGCTCTGTTACTAAAGCTGACCATACAGGTTACAATCTTATCTTGTTTAGAGAAACAAATAGCTTCAGTACAAGGGTATAGCCAAAGAAACTGTATATCAGGTAAACCCTCACTACATAGTTCTTTAAATAGTACATTTAAAGTAGGTTTCACAGCTAGCTTGTAGCTGCATGGACACCATCGGCCAAAGTTGCGTAGGTCTTTCTCTCACTGGTTCCTTTTAAGAATATCTGATGGACAATACAAACTACAAAATTGTAAATGAAGAGGCAGGGCTGACCCATGATATTAAGGTAATAACAGCAATATGTTGGTAAGTGTACTGTTAATCACCTATTTTTGTTTCAATTTAATCCTGCAATTAGTTTTTAGATTTCCAAAAACTCCTTACAAGCTAATGAAAGTTCAACCAAGAAAGGACCCCTCATTTTAGACTGAATCAAACGTGTTTTTTAGCATTCAATACTTTTTTCAACTCTTCAGTGGAAAAACTTCCTGATGTAAAAAGATCAATTTCATAAATGGAGATTCCATTAAAGCAGAAAGTCACATATGCCCAGCAGTAGCAAAGCAGTAACAGGAGTTTGTGAGGATGGGCATCAAATCTACTTCGTTCAGCACCTGTATTTATAGTGCTATGCAGTGCCAACAGTTAAGACCGTACATAAACATTGAAGCAGATAGAAAACACCTCCGAGTCCTCATGACTAGGCAGGCCAACACCAGTGGCAGACAGGCTTAAGGAACAAGCTGGAGGGGACCCCAGTCCAGATTAACTGCTACTACAGTGACCAAGAAATTTGTTACATTTCCAAAGCTAAATATTTAAAGTACAAAAATAAAAAAACTTGCATTAGAAACTTGGAGTTACAAATTGGCAACTTAAAATTAAAAATATGTATAGGCTACCGATATACGAATTAGCACTGCAATAGTAAAAGCAACCTGACCAATTTGAAGACTACCTGAAAAGACTCCATTTTGTATAATTTAAGGACAAAAAAGCTACCATGTTTTATGAGCTATAAGAAAATAAAACCTGTAAAACTGAAAGCCACTATAGCACAAAGGTAGTGAGGCAAAAAATGAAGCCAACATTTTGTTGATTTTCACAGAAATTTACCCATTCCATTACTCCAAAAGGCAAGACTTGCTTTTTAATGCCCATCATCTAAACTTTTCTATTATAAGTTAAATGTTCAGGGTTTCCTGAAGTGATTAGTCAGTTTATTTTAAAATTTACGCCATAAAACTACTACAGTTGTGCATAGTTACTAGTGTGTTGCATCACATGCTTCTTTGTATCACTTGATAACTTCAGTGGCCAACAATTCCTAGTTCTAACTCAACTGTCCAAAGCAAATGCTGCTTGTCTAGGAGATACTGGGAGCCCAGCTGTTAAGGGTGATCATTTAATTACAATGTTTTAATTGGAGAGAGGACACAATCTTTGCTGGGAAAGCTGACCTTTGTCTTTTGAGGAGAACCTGGCAGATAAATCAATTCATACATATCTTTATCAGCTATCAGTGGGGTTTGCCACTGTAACCACTACTCAGACACTAACAAGCGTGCTTTCTACTTCCATACAAAAACATAAGTTAACACTCTCAAAATGTGTATTGGCATGCATCATTGCTTATCAATATAGTGAGGGATATTTATGAAACAACTTGCCAGAAAAAAAAAAAAAATCTGAGGCCACAGACGTAGATAGAAGACTGCCTTTTCTTTAGCAAAGGATTGACAGTATATTTGGTACTGCTTGCATCTACAATCTTGAGCAAACACCTGCAATATTTTGAAGACCAGCATATCTACCACTGTACTGTAAAGAGTGTATCTCCTATTGCTGCAGTGCTACTGAATGGGAGGGGGGGGGGGGGGGGGGGGGGGGGGGGGGGGGGGGGGGGGGAAACTCTTTCAGTTTGAGACTTCCGACTCAAACTGAAATTCAAAATTCAATAGTGAATCTATCTCAATCTCTTACGGTGTTGCAAAAAAACTGCCCCATGTATCACAAGTACTTAGAAAGATATGCAATCGATAATCCAAACAAAAAGTAGGGAAGAGACACAGATTTGCATTTACAAAACTGTCAGCATTGTTTATCTTGAAAAAGTATTTTCTTAACTTCCAAAGTTACCTGCCATCTAGCATTTTCACAATCATCAAGCACTTGGCCTATAGGGCTTCTGCGGTAGTGTCTCAGAAGATCAAAGTCACTTTACCTTTATTGTTTGCTACAAATATTTTCTGCTATTCCAAAAATGAATCTGCTTTGTGGTAAACTTGCTTAAAACTTGGCCAGGCTGCATAGGATATTAACCACACCTCAAAGTCTTATGAAATGAAATTTTCCACTTGAAAGCCAGTGACAAATATGCAACTGCCCGTATTGACAAATTTTGGCACAAGGTAAAAAATAAATAGAACAAGCAGCTCTTGGGTGAAAAACAACCTGAATGTGCGCGCTCGTTCAGTTCATTCCACTAATCAGAGGTGGAAAACAGGTCATCAAGCTCAATGAATCTAAATTGATTCTTCGTTAAGTATATACTTTTGTTTGTGTAACCAAAGTCATAAATAATGCATCCATTGAATCATTCCAAATGAACTATATAGGAAAACAAAGTTCAGATGCACCATCTCATCAACTTCTTCATCAAGATATCTAAAACTGCTTACATGTGTTACACTTCAACTTTGTGGACTTAGAGGCCCGTTTACAAATGTTTTCACACAAGATTCAATACAAATGTTTTCACACAAGATTCAAACATTTTCCTAATTCTATTCAAAGTGACTTATGAGAAAAATATAAAATGGGCTCCTTAGTATTGAAAGTGGCAACTGCAATAAACAGGAAAATAAGATGCCGGGGACTTCTAGTGAGATAGGAGAGAAGTGAATTATGACAGTCCCCATAGACTAACAAGCTGTAAGTGCACCAACTGATGAAAAAACTGACTGGATTTACCACATTTTCATATGGGGGTTATATTTGCTCCTGAAAAACTCTCTAAATTGAAATACAAACTAAAAACAGAACGTGATATAGATATAAATGGTGTTTGTATATAACTTTTTCATAAAATAAGCATAATCCGTAACACAACTTTACCAGGGTGTGTGCGCGTGCATGTGTGTGCGCGTGCATGTATGTATGCGTGTTTACCAAAGTGGCAAAAAAATTGGTAATTTTTAGTAGATCTTGGCACAACTGAAATTTCACTAAAAGCATCATTGGAACATGCAAACATGTGTCTTATGTGCCGTAAAATACAGTTGTGTTTAAAAACCTAAGGTCTGAATTGGGGACTTAAGCACATCTGTTGAGTGTGTGTATATGAGCGTGTAATGTATATTATTACACACACTTTCATAGAATTACATATTCAACTAGAAAAAAGAAAATTGCTAAGTATCAAATATGGTGCTCGCAGTAACCATTGAAATTTTTTAGATTTACAAATAAAAAGAAAAATTGGATAATATGGGCAACCCAATCTCCATTTTCTCTATAAAAAGTGCAGTTTCAATAGGTTTATTACACCTGCATTTGAGATGCAAAACAGGATTGTGCAATTTTTAAAACCTAATAGAATTTTAGATCCCTATGTGATTTTTACCCAGGTGTTAAATTTACTAATAGGAACAATGTACAGGCTAGATAACAAGGAAGCTTGAGGGTCTTAGGTTTTATCTGTAGAAATGTCTTTTTCATGGCCTCATTTTCTGTTTCCCTCTGTAATATGCCTCAAGTTCTCAAGTTTTGCCAAGAGTAAACCACAAAACCCAACATTATAAATAGTCTCCTGGAGGAAACAGAGCTGTGTGGGCACAGATGTTTATGCAAAGCACACTGATGTTTTGTAATACTAGTGTTACTTATTACAACCAGAGACAGTTATCTTCAAGCTAGAAAATGGAGTCAGTATTGGTAAAACCACATACCTGTATGTGTTCGCAAGTGGGCCTTTAAATGTGAGCTCTTGGTATAGGTCTTTCCACAGCCTGCGTACTCACAAGTGTGAGTAGCTGTCCTTTTCCTGGGCCAGGATTTACGACCTCTCTTAGGCTTAGCTTCTTCTGACATACATCCTGATGTTAGGAGCTCTAAAGGTGAAGAGGGTGGAGTCAGCATCACTTCTTGTTTCAATAGTTGAAAGTTTAGAGAAGGATCTTCATAAATATTTAGATAAGACTGACCTTGATACTGAAGT